TAATTCGATCTTGCCAGTCTTGCTATTAATAGTGTCTGCTGCCTCTAGGTCAGGAGTGAGGAACTGCAGGCCCAGGGGGCAAATGTGGCCCTCCAAACCTCTCCATCTAGCCTTTCGGACTCTCCCCAGGACACCTTCCTCAGCATGCCTTTTCCTAACTTGTACCTGGACATTTGACGATAAAGAGTTAATTCCTTACTCTGGACATTCCTTGCCTGACAATGCCAGGATGGGGAAATCAAATGAACCTTATCCAATAGCTGAAGTGGGATTCAAAGGTCAATGTGGAGGGGAAAGGGTGGGTGCAGACCCCTGGAGACTCCAGAGAGCAGCAGCTGCCATTTCCTCCCAAGGGGTGGGAGACCAGCAGTGCCTCCTATTCACCAAGAGGCCACTGTATAGGCGATAGTCATGTTGGAGGGGCGGTGGCAGCAGGCTGCCAAGGAAGAGACAGATTCAGTCACCAAGGAGTATGTCATAGCCACAGATGCCACCATGGTGACAACAGCAGATGATGCCTTCCTTGAAGGCAGGATCTGTAGCCCCTGTTGATCCAACATATAGAGCCAGTGACCGCACCTTTGCCTCCTGGATGGGCCAACCCTGGCAGGTTGTATCCCTATGGGAATAAATTCTGTGAAGATACAGAAATGAAACCATTATTTATGCTGTGGAATGAGAAGGCACTTTGCATGTCCACAAGAGTTTGCTAGGAGGCAACTAAAACTGGGTGAACCCTACTGATTTCTTTGCTCCCAGGGACATGGAGGTTAGGATAATGCGTTTGGGGGATAGGATAAGGGGTTTCTGCCGCCTTTGGGGTTGGATTGGGAACCAATGTAGAGAGACTGCAAAAGTATGTATTTACTTGTGGTTTATTCAGTACAGTCATTTGAACTGAAAGCTCTTTAGTGCCACCTGCAGTCTTTTAATTTAACACACAAAGGTTTTTGTCTGAGCTCGAGTTCAGTTTCCACCACTGTGTGTCTGGCACAGTAATAGACGGCAGTGTCTTCTGGCTTCAGGCTGTTCATTTGAAGATAAAGGTTGGTGCTGTCCTTGGAGGCAGTGAAACGCCCTCGGATGGTTGGGGAATAGTTATTGCTGGATGATGAATAATAGTCAAGAAGCCATTCCAGCCCTTTTCCTGGAGACTGCCGGACCCAGCTCATGGTATAGCTGCTAAGATCGAAACCTCTCGTGGCACAGGTTAACCTCACAGATTCTCCAGGCTTTTTCATTTCTGGGCCTGACTGAGTGAGGACAATCTGTGAATTGGCCCCTGCAGAGAGAAGAGACACACTGCTTAACTGTGTGCAATTAAAAGCAAACACACAAAAACAAGGATGTCAAGAGTGACCAAATGTGGAAATAACTCCCCACACCACTAGTACATATGATAAAGATACAAAACAATTGACTTACATGGTAATGTGCTTATAATCATGATGAAATGTAAGTTCCACAACATTTTAAAATTTATAATTGGAGAATTGAGGACCCAAAGAAATTACTGAAGATCTCCTGAGCTTTGAATCCATCTGAGGGATCTGGTGTTTACGTACCTTTAAAGAGCAAAGGAAAGTTTTCAGTTTTGCATATTTTGGGTGGGACTGGAAACATCTGATATAAAAGAGATGAGCTGTACTGGACCGCAACTTCAGTATTTTCTGGTTCAGTTGAAATTTACCCTGCTGGACCTAGGAAAGAGCCTTGGGCCAGGAGAACAGGTCTCCAAATCCTGGCTTATTCATGTTGTGACTTTGCTGCAAAAGGTTTATTTTCCTCTCCATTTACATCATCACCTCACTGCGTGAGCCCTCTGACTTAGCTCACAAGGCACACCATAAATAAACACAAAGAAAGCAAATCATTATTATACGTAAAAAAAATGATAGCAATTTAATTTAAAATGAAAACACCCATTGAAATGCAAATCTGAGAAGTTAACGTTATAAAATGTAAGTTATTTATAATATCTGGTTGCATATGGTGCCGATTATTGGGATGGCAACTCCACAACTGGGGCATCAATACCAGAAAAAGGCCACCTTTCTTTTAGTGTCCATTTCACTTCATTTGTTGCAGAATAAACTAGTGGTTTGAGCAGCTGATTCCTTCTCACTTCAATCTCACTGACACTGCATCTTATGTCTATTGTGTTCTATTGTATTCCAATTCACCCCATCCATTCTGTTCCACTGTACATATTAAGGACACAATTTGGGCACGCACACCTCCACAATAAAACACACACTTCTCAGATCTGAAAATTCGATTCTAATCCATAAGCAAGAACCAAGTACCAGTGTTCTAGCAAAAAAGTAGACTGAAATAAATCCTCCCCAGTTCGTGGTTTAAGAGTAAAATGTGAATTAGCCAGAGACCCAGAAAGTATCACATCCATATATTGTTTAGGAGGAAGGTAATGTCCCAGAAACGTAAAACTTAAAGAGTAGGTTCAGTTAGCACAGCACATTAAAGTTATCACAATTCAAGGGAATATTATATCCCCTGGGTATATGAAAATCAGATTTATTTAGGGAGCAAGATTGTCTCCTTGGGTCTCATGGAAAATTTCAAATGGGCACTTATAATCTCTTTTGACTAAAGAACCGCTCCGGAATGGAAGGAATGTGGGAAGAAAGAAAGAAAGAAAGAAAGAAAGAAAGAAAGAAAGAAAGAAAGAAAGAAAGAAAGAAAGAAAACAATCCTTAGATGAAGAGATAACATGGTTCAGGAGAGGGCCAGATGAAAGATTCACAATCTACATTCATTTACTTCAAAAGAACAGTTCCTAGACACCTGCTTTCTCTCATGAAAGGAGATGTCCCTCTTTAGTATCTCCCCTTACTTGCGGCTTTGTGGTTTTTCTGAGTTTCAAGACACCTCTGGTTCTGCGGTTTTCCTCAGTTCCCACCACCATGGAACAAGAGCACCACCAGCCGCAAGTCATTGGCATAACTTACAAAGCTGAAGGTTTTTTTTTTTCTTTTGCTGGTTCTTTAGGAGTCCTGGCTGCATTGCCATCACAGTGCATCACTGGTGCAGCAATTAATGGTTGCAACATTAAACTCCACTTTGTTCTCCACTTTGGGGCTAATTATTTGCTGATTGAAATTGAAGCCATCTTTTAAAGTGTTGAGTTGCCCTTGGTTTGTGGGTGAAGAAGAGCCACTGCTTTCTTCCATTGTGGATACTAGGCATCGAGGTTCCTTGCTGGAGCAAAGGATTAAAGCTGCCCTCCTCCCACACCATAGTCCAGATCTTACTCCTCTCAGGCTGGCCATTTATTTATTTAAACATCAACTATTCAAGGCAAACCATGGGAAATCCGTTATGAATGTCTAGAATAGCCCCAAGGTACAATTTAATCACGGAGTGGATCCTGGGATGTTCTCACTGGTAGTAATTTGCCAGCAGTCTTTTCTGTCACTTGCTATCTGTCCCTTTTAATGAGTTGAACCTGGAATTTCCTGCATGCAAAACACATTCTCTGTCTCTGGAACACCCCCTGTTATCACTCATGGAAGCTACAGGTTCCATCAAGATCTCAACTCAAGATGTGTGGCTTCAAAGTATACAGTGTAACCACAGGGCTCACCACCGCAGTAAGTATTTCAGGGATGAACTCGGGAATAGAGGAATTTGCCTTCTACCAGATCAGACTTTTTGTTTATTTAAGTCAGAATTGAATTCCTCTGGCTGTCAGCCACTTTCTGGGATGGCAGACAGAAGGTCTTCCCCATCTCCTGCTTCCTAATCCTTTTAATTTTGGGACAGTAGAAACTGGGGACTCTGGTAACTCTCCTATTTTTTTTATTCAACTCATTTTCAGAGGCATGCCACTTCTGATATTAGAATGCAAATAAACTGTATATCAAATGAGCCTCAGACAGCACCTCCTTCTGCATAAATGGACAGGGAGAATCTCATTTTCATGAGCTGTTCTTTGCAGTTTATTGGAAGAACTGCAATTCTGCTATTAAACTGTGTTCTCTCTCTCTCTCTCTCTCTTGGCTAGAAGGATGAATAAACTCAACAACGTCTAGAAATATGGCAACACTATGTGAAGCACAGGTAAAGGTAAAGGGACCCCTGACCATTAGGTCCAGTCACGGACAACTCTGGAGTTGCGGCGCTCATCTCGCTTTACTGGCCATGGGACCCAGCGTACAGCTTCTGGGTCATGTAGCCAGCATGACTAAGCCACTTCTGGCGAACCAGAGCATCGCACAAAATGCTGTTTACCTTCCCACCGTAGTGGTACCTATTTATCTACTTGCACTTTGACGTGCTTTCGAACTGCTAGGTTGGCAGGAGCAGGAACTGAGCAATGGGAGCTCACCCCATCTCAGGGATTTGAACCTCTGACCTTCTGATCGGCAAGCCCTAGGCTCTGTGGTTTAGACCACAGCGCCACCCACATCCCAAGTATGTGAAGCATAAAGGTAAAGGTACCCCGGACCATCAGGTCCAGTCGCAGACGACTCTGGGGTTGCGGCGTTCATCTTGCTCTATAGGCCGAGGGAGCTGGCATTTGTCCACAGACAGCTTCCGGGTCAATGTGAAGCATACTTGCTATTTATTCTGCTGTTAGCTCCTCCGACCCTTCTCCTATGTTTAACAGCTAAGAAGACACTCAAATAAAAACTCAATAGCATTTTTTTCTCTGAAGCCCCACCCAGAGTGCCTCTCACTGAAGGAAAAAGTTGCAGCAGTGCCACTTGACTGTGTTCACAGAGTAATGAGATCAGATGAAAGTTATAGTTCATGAACAGGGCCACAAATTTCCTAATGCTAAATGGACTTCATATGCAGCATCTTTCTTTGCTCCTGTGATATGAGACATTCTAAGGCATTTTTGAGGTTATTTTCCCATTGTTTGCTTTTCAGAACAGAGCACTCTTCTGTCATTAATGAATCTGAAGGGAGAGGAAATGAATAGGCAGGAAAAAAACAGGGCTATTTTAAGCATATGCAACACTGAAGCCTGGTTCTCAGTTGGGGTGGTTTTTGTGCAGCCCCGAGTTGGGTTGTCTCACTGTGCCTCTTGCACAATAGTACATGGCAGAGTCTTCAGGCTTTAGGGCCCTCAGTTGCAGGGACACCTGGCTTTTTGAGATGTCCCTTGTGATGGTGATCCGGTTTTGGAGAGCAGAGTTATAGTTATTGCTTCCATCATACCCCATTCGTCCAGTCCACTCCAGCCCTTTTCCAGGAGGCTGATGGAACCAGTGCACACCATTGCTTGTTAGAGAAAATCCAGACACTGTACAGGTCAGCTGCAGAGTCTCTCCAGGTCTTTTCAGCCCATTGCCGGACTGTGTGAGGGTAATCTGTGAGGAACTGTCTGCATTTATCAGAAAAGAATTGAAGAAGACAAAAATAAATAAGAAACACGATGATATTACACAGGAATAACCCCTTCTTAAGAGGAAATGGGAAACTATCTTACATGCAGGGAATATCATTAGGAAACCAATCAAAAGATTCCTCTCCATGACTTGAATGGTTGCAGGACCAGGCAAAGATCTGGATGCTGCCGAAGACCTTGAATTTGGTATCTTTGACCTGCACGCCCTCTTTAAAGAAGGACGTACCAGAAACCCATTTGCATGTTGTCCTGGGTGCCTCTCATAAAAGAGAACTGAAGGCTGAAAGAAGATGCAGTAATGGAGTGGCTAAGAATGAATGTCAGAATCCCACCTTTCCTACCTGTGTTTGCCCATCATGTTTCCTGGAAACAGGCGTGTGGCTTGATGCCATCTTGCCCAGAGTTTCTCTGGCTTTGGGAGTGAACAGAAATTACAATGCAATACTTAAGGCACTCAAACTTTCATTGAGAAATGCAGTTACAGTGGTGCCTCGCAAGACGAAAAGAATCCGTTCCGCGAGTCTCTTCGTCTTGCGGTTTTTTCGTCTTGCAAAGCAAGCCCATTAGCGTCTTAGCAGATTAGCGCTATTAGCGGCTTAGCGGGCTTAGCGGATCAGCTGTTAAGCGGCTTAGCGGATCAGCTGATAAGTGGCTTAGCGGATCAGCTGATAAGTGGCTTAGCGGCTTAGGATCAGCTGATAAGCGGCTTAGCGGCTTGGGAAAAAGGGGGGGGAGGAAAAAAACCCCGCAGGAACTCACAAGACATTTTCGTCTTGCAAAGCAAGCCCATAGGAAATTCGTTTTGTGAAGCACCTCCAAAACGGAAAACCCTTTCGTCTAGCGGGTTTTCCGTCTTGTGAGGCATTCGTCTTGCGGGGCACCACTGTATTTAGAATAGCATTGGTCCAGTCTAGTGTGAGGAACATTTTTTTAAAGTCAAGGGCAGCATTCCCTTCGGAAAACCTGCAGTGAGCCAAGTGGCAGTGTTGTTAGGCAGGTTTAGCAGCAAACGTTTGTGAAAGTCATTGCAAATCCCCTCCCCCAAATATTGGTTTCCTGTCGTTGTGGATGTGAAAGTGATTACTACCTTCTGTCCTGAAGCCATTTCAGTTCACTCTAAATAATGTCCTTTTGCAGATGGTTCTCTAGCTGCACTGGTGGGTCAAAGGGGCAAACAGCCTCCACAGCAGATAAGTAGACAATCTACTTCGAGATGGATTCATCTGTCAATTTCAGTTTACCCCAGTCGCTCCTTTTACCATTCAGTTCACCATATTTCTACATCAGTTAAAACTTCACATTAAAATTCACCTGCACTTTCATGACCATAAAAATGTTGAAATTACGGTATTTAATATTACATACAATGGTTTATAAGTGTGTGTGAACTGTATTTTTAGGTTACTGTGAAAAATGTACGAACACATGATGAAGGCTTGTATTTTCCCTTTTCAAATGTTCGGGGAAGGTGCTAGCTTTAGTGACTGAGCAATGGGTATTTAGATAAAATATTGGAATGTTTACTTATATTTAGGAAGTAGCCCACACCATGGATTCCTAATCCCAGAAAATGGCCCTTACCTATATTTTAGCACTCTGCTAATTGGGAAAGGAGTACGGCAAGGCTGTATATTGTCTCCCTGCTTATTTAACTAATATGCAGAATTCATCATGCAAAAGGCTGGGCTGGATGAGTCCCAGCTGGAATTAAGATTGCCAGAAGAAATATCAACAACCTCAGATATGCAGATGACACAACCTTGATGGTAGAAAGTGATGAGGAATTAAAGAACCTTTTAATGAGGGTGAAAGAGGAGAGCGCAAAATATGGTCTGAAGCTCAACATCAAAAAAACAAAGATCATGGCCACTGGTCCCATCACATCCTGGCAAACAGAAGGGGAAGAAATGGAGGCAGTGAGAGATTTTACTTTCTTGGGCTCCATGATCACTGCAGATGGTGACAGCAGTCCAGCAGTCACGAAATTAAAAGACACCTGCTTCTTGGGAGAAAAGCAATGACAAACCTAGACAGCATCTTAAAAAGCAGAGACATCACCTTGCCAACAAAGGCCCGTATAGTCAAAGCTATGGTTTTCCCTGTAGTGATGTATGGAAGTGAGAGCTGGACCATAAAGAAGGCTGATCGCCGAAGAATTGATGCTTTTGAATTATGGTGCTGGAGGAGACTCTTGAGAGTCCCATGGACTGCAAGAAGATCAAACATATCCATTCTTAAGGAAATCAGCCCAGAGTGCTCACTGGAAGGACAGATTGTGAAGCTGAGGCTCCAATACTTTGGCCACCTCATGAGAAGAGAAGACTCCCTGGAAAAGACCCTGATGTTAGGAAAGATGGAAGGCACAAGGATAAGGGGACGACAGAGATGGTTGGACAGTGTTCTCGAAGCTTCCAGCATGAGTTTGACCAAACTGCGGGAGGCAGTGGAAGACAGGAGTGCCTGGCGTGCTCTGGTCCATGGGGTCACAAAGAGTCGGACATGACTAAACGACTAAACAACAAAATCCAAGCATTTATTAAATTTAAGAACTGTGGGGGATATGCCCCCCCAAAAACTTATAACAATATACCGTATTTTTCGCTCTATAACACGCACCCGACCATAACATGCACGTAGTTTTTAGAGGAGGAAAATCCGCAGGCATGCCACCCGTAGGCATTCCCTCCATAACACGCACAAACATTTCCCCTTACTTTCTAGGAGGAAAAAAGTGAGTGTTATGGTGCAAAAAATATGGTAAATATTTTCACAGAGAGACAGTGATTAATTGATTATCATTCCTATGCTTCTTTTCCCTAGATCTGCTTCACTTTATTGGAAACCTCATATGACCTAAGAACTTCATATATTTCCACATTTAGAGGAGAAATCCTAGACACCTGCTTCCTTTGGGTAATGAAACTTCCTTCTTGACAAACTCTTCACATTGTGGTTTCATCTCATTGCTGCGATTTTCTTAATACTTGTGTTGTCGAATGTATATGCCCCCTACAGGATTTCCCTTTCCTGAGTAACATAATGGAATGGTTTTTGCCAGACCCAAGACTAGCTTTTCATCACTGTGAGCCTCTGGCGCAGTAATACGTGGCTGTGTCTTCTTGCTCCAGATTGTCCATGTGCAGATATAAGTTGGAGCTATCCTTGGAGGCAGTGAACCGCCCTTGAATGGTTGGGGAGTAATAATTGGTACCAGTTGAAGAGTAATAGTATATCAGCCATTCCAGCCCTTTCCCTGGAGACTGACGGAGCCAGTGCGTGTGAGCGCTGCTAAGATCAAATCCAGCTGTGGAACAGGTGAGTCTCACGGATTCTCCAGGCTTTTTCAATTCTGGGCCTGACTGAGTGAGAACAATCTCTGAACTGGCCCCTGAAAAGAGAGGAGGCACATTAAGTGGATTTATAAATAAATATAGAGCAGGTGTTTCCATGCAGGGCACTTTGCTGGATTGAATGCTTCCAAAATGTAATGATTTGTTAAAAAATAACTTTTGAAGAATTACTTACAAGCAATCCCAGTTATGAAGAGGAGGGAATTCAATAGCCAGAACATTGTGGACAGAGAGATGAGGAACCCCACTGATTGTTGAAGCAGGCTCAAGGAGATCTTTCGTTTCTCCAGAGGAGGAGAAAGTTAGCCATTTAAAAGCAAATGAGAGTGTATGATTTTTGCATATGCTGGGCAGGGGTGGGCAAAACTTAGACAAAAAGGGAGACTCTCATCAGTGCACGGAGTGGAGTGAAGCAATAAAAGCAAAGGAGCCCAAAGAGGGAATTCCAAATGGTCCTCAACCATCAGTATGGTTTAAACATGACGTTTAAGTTACTGGAAAATTTCCTGGGGAAGTTTATGTGAAATGAATGGAGCCCTTGTTTATTTTAATCAACTCCTTGTGTCTCTGTCTCTGTGTGGGAATTGTGTCTATTGCATCCTGATTCACCCCATCCATTCTGTTATACTGTGTGTATTTAGGACACATTTTGTGCACACTCCATCCCCAATAAAACATACACTTCTCAGTGCTCTTAAATGCATTAAAGTGTAAAATGTGTGGCTTCTCCCCTACCAGAGATCCTGACGCTCCCCATAGATCACCTACACCTGACGACGCAGGAGCGCTATTCCACTTCTGCATCCCAGCAACTAGTATTTAGACCCATACTTTTTCTAATACTGGAGGGACACCATAGGCAGCATAGATTGTTAACATGAATTCATCTAATGCTCCTTGAAAACCACCAAAATTGTGGACTTCCGGGTTGGCGCGATCGGGAAATGGCGGATTCCCTCCGAGCTGCGGAGGGAATTGGCTCAACTGAGGACGGGTCTTGCCGCGCCGGCGACGCGGGGACCCTTAGAAACCGCAGGCGCTGAAGCCTGCGGACAGGAAGACTCGGTGGGCGCCTTAAGCGCCCCCTGACCCACGAAGAGCCTTTTTAAAGGCTGCGGAGAGGGTATGGAGGGTGGCGTGGCGCTGAGAGTCGATCGCTACCTCGGTTGAGCGAAGCCGCGAGCCATGACTGGAGAGCGCTGACTTCCTTCCTCGAAATTTGGACTGAAAAAGAATAACCCGTGAGTAGAATGGAATTGGGCTTTAAGAATCTTTTCCTGTGAATTCGAGACGACCGGGGTGTGTACTAAAAGGAAGTCTGCACCCCCCTTACCTACAGACAATTCTAAGCAAGGAACGGAGAACTAAGGAGGAGAGGTTATTTTGTCTAATATAAAAGAAATTAACTTCCTCGATTTGTTAAAAGAAGTGTTGTGCTGGAGAGTGAGAGTGGAACTTTGGAAATTTTTATGAAATCCCCCCCCCCGGACCAGGGGGAGTCCCGCGTTTGAGCCTGTTGAAGAGGAATAAGGAGTTTGACAGCTGTCAAAAGAGCTGTCAAAGGGACAGTTTCAGTTAAAAGTTTGTTATCTAATATCTCTCTGGACCAAAAGTGCTATAAACTGAAACAAAGTCGTTGGAAATTTGAAAGAAAGAAACAAAAAAGATTTGGACTGTTGGAAAAAGTCTACAAAATAACTAGAATCCCTCTAGGGGGATTCCTAAGGTATTACAATGGCTGCAGATGGAAATTTACAGGCACAGATAGACAGGATGTTTTTTCTCGTGGGAATATTGCAAGAGCAGAGCTTGACCATGAATTAACAACTAATGACCTTGACCTCCGGAATAAGCAACTCTGCTGAATGCATTAAAGACTTTACAGGAAAGGAATCTGCAGCTGAAATAGAAGTGACATCTCAAGAATTGGAGGAGAAAGTACAGATGGGAAATATCAACAAAAAGCCTACAATGGTGGAGTGCAAGGAAAAAGACTCTTGGAGTACATGGATTACAAACCTGCAAAGGATGTTAAAGATGAAGGAGGGGGCCCCTAAAGTATTTGGAATACAGGAACTTAAAGGAAATAAGAAATATGATTGGGGCTCCCCTGTTGGAGATGAAAGACTGGCTGATTTTTGGCAGCAGTTGTTATCAAGCATCCTGGTGGGAAGAAAAACTGGAGTGACGGAGATTGAACTGCTTCGAGATCTGACGACCAACATAAAGGATTTCCAACAAAACCGGCGGAGAGGAACTGAAAGAGATTTGAAAGCCTCGGACGTGAGAAATCCAGGCTAGAAACTACTGCTGACCTTTATTTGAGAAGGGACTAGTACCTGGGGAGGGGGGAGGGGAAAGCAGAATTGTAAAATGTTTATGAATTTTGGGTCGGGTGAATAGGGCCTACATTTAATATAAAAATGAAATCGGTGGAAGGGAACTTGGGCCGACCTTAGGAAAAAATCTAAATGTTTATAAGAGATGGGGATAAGAAAAATGAGGTTAATTAAGAAGAGTTTTATCAAAAATATTAATTTATAGGTTAAGGAGGAGAAGCTAGAACTTGCTGATTCAATCATGGGAATAGGGATGTAAGAAGGGGGGTGGGGGGGAGTCCAGGGAATAAGGTTAGGAAAGTAAGGTTTTGAGAATATGCTTGTTTTGTTTTGTTTTTGTTGTATCTTTGTGTGTTTGTCTTTAAAAAACTTGAAAACCCAATAAAAATTTTATAAAAAAAAAAGAAAACCACCAAAATTGTGCTCACCCTGATGTCATAACTCTGGCAAAGTGCATTGGACTGTAGCTGAAGAAAACCACTGAATTCTCAGACATAAATGTTGGCAGAGTAACGGCTATGTGTTTACAACAAGGGACACATGTGAAGTGTACAGGAGCAAGGGATGTGCTTGGCTGGATGGCTGATAGCAAGATTCCCAATTGTTTGTTCACATAGAGATTTTCATGACGGATGACTAGTGATTTGGAAGGGAATTTTCTGCCTCCCAGCCCATAAGTACTTGCTGCTCCTCTTTCAGAGAAGTGTAGGAGGCTCCACATGTTCTCTCCCCTCCCAATGTTTTGCCAGTGCACTCAGTCATGTTGTAAAGTGGCTGTGTCTCCATCACCAAGGAGACTAGATCACCACCAACCACCCCTATGAACCAACATTATGATTTCCCCCTTGCATAATGCCAAGTGTTGACTTCTGTCTAGATTACGACAGCATCCTATAGGACTACCCACTTCTAACATATAGCTATTGAATATTTTATTTTATTTTATGAAGAAATCAGTAGTCAAATTTATTATATATCTGGCTTCTGCAGTAAAATGTTGTTGTTGTTGATGATGATGATGCCACAAGTTTCTTCCAATGTTGCATGCAGGGTTATTTCTTACACTTTTATATCCTCAAAACAACCATATATGGCAGTTTAGGCTAAGAGACTGACCCAAGGTCACCCAGTGAAAAACCTTAACACCAACAATACACTGGATGTGAATATTTCTGATCTAGGGTTTGAGTCAACAACATCTGCTCTGAAACATCCTCAGAAATTTACAAGATCTGTGGCAAATATATGATTTGCTTGATCACCCAAAAGGAATTCCAAACAGCTTTTACAACACTTAGAAGCCACCACATTCTTTCTCTTTATACTCCAAATGGGTTTTTGTGTTAACTCAGATTAGCTTTCCACCACTGTGTTCCCTGGCACAATAATACATGCCGGTATCTTCAGCTTTCAGACCAGTCATATGTAGAAAGATCAGCTTCTTGGAACCGTCTGTGGAGATTGTGAACCGCCCTTTAGCAGAATCTGCATAAGCTGTGCTGGCCCGATTAATTGCTGAGAGCCATTTGAGTCCCTTTCCAGGAGCTTGATGGACCCAGTGCATCCAGTAGCTGTCTATGTTGAATCCTGATGTTGTACATGTGAGTCGGAGGGACTCTCCAGGTCTTTTCACATCCCCACCAGATTCCACCAGAGAATCTGCATGGACACCTAGAAAGAGAGAGAGATTGAGTTGCAAACTTTACATATGGATTATAAAGACTTCCTGATAAATCACACCAACTGTATTCCAAACAAAGGGATTAAATACCTTTGAAAATGAAGACACTAAATATGAAATGTATCCACAGAATCATTTCTACTGGATTGTTTGGATGGAAAGCTGGTGTCTGTCTAACAGTATGAGGATATTTCCACAAGCTCACCTGGAACCCACAGCAAGAGGGCGGCTCACGTTTAAAGTGTGGACTGTTCCATTATTTGCATAGCCTCCTCTATATATAATATTTCCCAGAGGAGCTTTTTCAGTTGAAATGCTTCTCAGTCCTTAATGCTTTTGTTTCCATTTGCCTCTATACACATTGCCTTTGTGATTTTGTAAGCAGAACTTTTGGTCTGACATATTATGCCCCAATATTAAGGACATATTTTTTATATATTTTATTCTATATTATCAATATTATAGGATCTCTCCTCTGAATTTTTTTATGACCGCCAATGCAAACAACAGAACTCCTGAATTATAATAGAATATCCTTTTTAAAATGCCAATGAATCAGGCAATAAAATTGTAAGAAAACGAAAGACAGGAGGTAGAAATAGATGGTGAAAACAGTGATAATAGTATTAACATTTCTAAATGGAAATATAAGAGACTACCAAAATATGGAGTCCCATGTACATAAGTAGTTTATAATGTGATCTTTTGCAATGAAAAGTTATTTTGGTTTATATTTGTATATTCTTAAAGGTTGGCAAGCCAGTGGCGGATCTTGGCCTCTCAGATTTCAGTGGTACCCTGTGTTACTCCAAAATCCTGTAGCCCCCGCCTCTCACCTTCCATTTGACATCATTGCTGTGGCACCTGCTGTGGAGTCCCAGAAGCTCTGCAGCCATTATGGCCAAACCTGTCGTGCTCCCCTAGATCTCTCTTTGTGTTTGTCCCTTGGCTAAAACTGGTGATGTTCCATCTTTAAACGTTCAGAAAAGCTAATGCCTTACAAACTTATTATGTTGTCGTCCCCCCCACATACACATTGTACAGTTTTATGATATCTTATAATTACTATAGGTTTTAATGTATATTTTATTGTTGCAAGGAGAAATGATAAGTATTAGACATAGGCAGGAATTGCATTTTTGGTGGTGTTTTCTTCCCAGCTATTGCACAAATGTGAGCTTTGACGTCTCATCTACACGCTAGCATCAGGAACAGTTGCTGTGGATTGTAGCATTATGATATCTATTTTGTGTGTCCTATCACTGTGGGAATTTATTCTGAAAATAAATAGCAAATAAAATTATTATTTATTCTTTAGGACAAAATGTACTTAACCGCCCTGGGACCTGTGGGTATAGGGCAGTCTATAAATTCAGTTAATAATAATAATTTGCATTCCCACAAGAACTTGTCTAGCAGGGAAATAAAACCAGGGTAGCTTATTTGCTCCCAAGAGCTTTGGAAGCTAGGATAAGTAGTTTCTGCCACCTTTGTGGATAGATCGGGAACTAATGTAGAGAGACTTGATATGTATTTATTTGCTTGTGGTTTATTCAGCACAATCATTTGATCTGAAAGCTCTTCAGTGCCACCTGCAGTCTATTAATTTAACACACAAAGGTTTTTGTCTGAGTCCGAATTCAACTTCCACCACTGTGTCTCTGGCACAGTAATAGACGGCAGTGTCTTCTGGCTTCAGACTGTTCATTTGAAGATAAAGGTTGGTGCTGTCCTTGGAGGCAGTGAAACGCCCCTGGATGGTTGGGGAGTAGTGGTTGCTGGATGGGGTGTAATAGTAAACCAGCCATTCCAGCCCTTTTCCTGGAGACTGCCGGACCCAGTTCATCCAATAGCTGCTAAGAGCAAAACCTTTTGTGGCACAGGTTAACCTCACAGATTCTCCAGGCTTCTTCATTTCTGGGCCTGACTGAGTGAGGACAATCTGTGAATTGGCCCCTGCAGAGAGAAGAGACACGCTGCTTAACTGTGTGCAGTTTAAAGCAAACACACAAAAACAGGTATCACATCAGGATTGAAACAGTGACCAAAAGTGGAAATAACTCCCCACACCACTAGTACATATAATTAACATACAAAACAATTGACTTACATGGCAACGTGCTTATAATCATGATGAAATGTAACAGCCACAACATTTTAAAAATTATAATGGGAGAGTTGAGGACCTAAATAAATTACTGAAGCAGATCCGCGGAGCCTTGATTCAGTCTGAGGGATCTGGTGTTTACCTTTAAAGATGAAAGGGAAGCTTTTTGTTTTGCATATTTTGGGCGGGCCGGGAAACATCTGATATAAAAGAGATGAGCCATACGGGTCCTCCACTTCAGTATTTTATGGTTCAGTTGAAATTTCCCCTGCTGGACCTAGGATAGAACCTGTCTCCAAATCCTGGCTTGTTCATTTTGTGACTTTGCTGCAGATGGCTTATTTTCCCCTCCATTTTCATCATCACCTCAATGCCTGAGTCCTCTAAGTTGGTTTACAAAGCACACCATAAATAAGCACAAAGGAAGCAAATCATTATTATATGCAAAAAATGATGGCAATTTACTTTAAAAGGAAAACACCCTTTGAAATGAAAATCTGAGAAGCTAAGGGTATAAAATGTAAGATATATATAATATCTGGTTGCATATGGTGCCTATTATTGGGATGGCAACACAATAACTGGGGCACCAGTGCTAGAAATAGGCTATCTTCTTTTTGGTAATCCATTTCACTTTATTTGTTGGAGAACAAACTAGTGATTGGACAGTTGATTCCATCTCACTTCAGTCTCCCTGACACTGCATCATAAGTCTATTGTGATCTATTGCATCCATTCTGTTCCACTGTATTTATTTAGGACACATTTTGAGGACATTTCTCTCTCCCCCCCCCCCCCCAATAAAACACACACCTCTCAGTGCTCTTAAATGCATTCAATAGCAATATGTGTGGTTTGTCTTCTACCAGAGATCCTGTCCCTCCCCATAGATCACTTACACCTGATGACACAGGAGCACTATTCCACTTGTGTATCCCAGCAACTAGTATTTAGAGCAATACTGTTTCTGATACTGGAGGGACACATAGGCAGCATAGATTGTTCACATGAATTCATCTAATGCTCTTCAAAGCCACCCGAATTGTGCTCACTATAATGTCATAACTCTGCCAAAGTGCCTTGGACTGTAGCTGAAGAAAACCACTGAAGTCTCAGACATCAATGCTCGCAGAGTAACTGGCTATGCGTTTACTACAAGGGACACATATTCAGTGCACAGGAGCCAGGGATCTGCTTGGCTGGATGACCGATAGCATGATTCCCAACTGCTTGTGCACATAGAGGTTCTCATGAGTGATGATTCATGATTTGGAAGGGAATTTATGCCTCCCAGCCCTACAGACTCCATAAGTACAGTATCTGGCTCTTCCGCTTTCAGAGAAGTGTAGGAGGCTCCACATGTTCTCTGTCCTCTCAATGTTTTACAAGGCCACTCAGTCATGTGGTGAAGTGGCAGTGTCTCCATCATCATGGTGACTAGATTACCCCCAACCACCCCTATGAGACAAAAGTACCCCCCCTTGCAAACGGGCCAACTATCGCCCAGTTTCAAATCTTCTATTTTTGTGCAAGGTGATTGAGCGGGTGGTTGCTGAACAACTCCAGGCACGCCTGGAGGATGCGGACCATTTGGATCCCTTCCAATCGGGATTCAGGCCTCATCATGGGACTGAAACGGCCTTGGTCACGCTGGTTTATGATCTGTGCTGGACTAGGGACAAAGGTGAGAGCTGTTTCCTATTTCTGCTGGATCTCTCAGCGGCCTTTGATACAATCGACCATAACATCCTTCTGGACCGTCTAGAGGGGCTGGGAGCTGGGGATACTGTTATACAGTGGTTCCGCTCCTTCCGCCTGGGCCGTGTTCAGAAAGTGGTGGTGGGGGATGAGTGTTCAGACCCTTGGGCCCTCACTTGTGAGGTGCCTCAGGGTTCCGTCCTCTCCCCCATGCTTTTTAACATCTACATGCAGCCGCTGGGAGAGATCATCAGGGGGTTTGGACTGGGTGTCCATCAATATGCTGATGATACCCAGCTCTACCTCTCTTTCAAATCAGAATCACTGAAGGTGGTGAAGGTGGTGAAGGTGTGTGAGTGCCTGAAGGCGGTTGGAGGATGGATGGTGGCTAATGGATTGAGGTTGAATCCTGACAAGACAGAAGTACTGTTCTTGGGGGACAGGGGGCGGGCAGGTGTGGAGAACTCTCTGATCCAGAATGGGGTAACTGTGCCCCTGAAGGATCAGGTTCTGCCCGGACACTGAGGTCCAGCGCCGAGGGCCTTCTGGCGGTTACCTCATTGTGAGAAGCAAAGCTACAGGGAACCAGGCAGAGGGCCTTCTCGGTGGTGGCACCCGCCCTGTGGAACGCCCTCCCATCAGATGTCAAAGAGATAAACAACTACCTGACATTCAGAAGACATCTGAAGGCAGCCCTGTTCAGGGAAGTTGTTAATGTGTAACATTTTATTGTATTTTTTTGTCTTTGATGGAAGCTGCCCAGAATGTTTGGGGAAACCCAGCGAGATGGGCGGGGTACGAATAATAAATTATTAGTAGTAGTATTATAATGCCTAGTGTTGACTTCTGCTTGATTACCACAGCATTCCACAGGACCACCCACTTCTACCAAACAGCTATTGAATATTCATGTATTTTATTTAAAAGAAGAAATCAGTAATCAAATTAATTATATATTTCGCTTCTATGGTATTATGTTGTTGTTGTTGTTGTTGATGATGATGATGATGCCTCAAATTTCCTCCAAACAGCTCAAGGTTGCATGCTGGGTTCTTCTTTCCCCTGTTATATCCTCAGAACAACCCTATGTTGCATTTTAGGCTCAGAAATGGACCCAAGGTCACCCAGTGCAAAATCTTAACACCCAATAGTTTCCACTTGATGTGACAATTTCTGGACTAGGGTTTGAGTCAACAACATCTGCTCTGAAACACCATCAGAAGTTCCTCTGAGTTTTACAAGATCTGTGGAAAATATATGATTTGCTTGATCACCCAGCGGAAATCCTGACAACATTTTCAACCCATAGAAGCCACTTGATTCTTTCTCTTTATACTATCCTCCAAATGGGTTTTTGTGTAAACTCAGATTCACTTTCCACC